AAACTACAATGCGGAAACACGATAAAAGGTAAGTAAAATAGTTGGAACCAATTATCTATCCTAGGATGTGGAAAGATATATACAATTAATTTATTAATATTCGATAAAGAGAAATCATGACACGATATCTATTAAGAGATCTGACTCGATTTACCTCTACAGATTTGCCAAATTTATTCATGCACATATTCTTGTCGGAATGAAGAGCTTAATCTCTTTAGATTTTGAAGTTTGTGGAACCTGTATAAGTCTTAGCTTAATGTATAGGTTGTTGCTGGAAGATAATTTGATATGCTAATGGAGAACATCTTCAAGCCATCTAACTTTGAGAAACATTTTCATTCTTGAAGTTCGCGAGCAAAGGTTCTGACTTATTAGACTTCAAACTGACTGAAAAACAACTATACGAACATAACTTATCTTATTTTTTGTCAGCATATTCATTTCTCAATCAATATAAATATAAATATTCTACAAAAATTTATGCCAATACATTGTTTCAGAAATGAATATGCGAGGAGAAGGTTAATTTAAGCTTTATCAGAATCTACTTCCAGAAGGGTAAGCGCCTATTGACACAACTAGAGCCAAGTAATCAAGATGCTTCTTTGTTTTTAAGATGTAATGCTGAGAACGAGTAACTGTACCACCAGGCTGAGGAGTAGGATGAGTCAACTTGTGATTGTTTCTTGTATCTATATAAATGTGGTCTAAACTCTAATTGAAGGTTGTTGCTTGTATCTATATAATTCTGATCTCAACTCTAATGAAAGGCGATGTGGTGTATCTCTTAGACCGAGAAAAACGTACGTCTTTCTTTTCCCCCATTTTTTGTCATTTGCCTTTGATTTTTCCGTTTTCTTTTCTTTTCTAGGCGCAACGGTGATTGTGATAATTAAAGTGCTTCTGAATAATGGGAAGGTTGCAACAATAGAATTGTTTTGGCAATTAAAGGTTAACTTTTTTTAAAAATCTTTTTTGTACTTTCACATAAGAAAATGGCGGCAAAAATAGGAAAAGAACACAAAGAAGGGAAACAATAAAGATATGGAAAGAACTGAAATCAAAGGTGATTACCTGAAACAAGAGAGCAGAAGTTGTCACAAGAATATAAGCTGCCTTCTTTTTCTGGTAAGTACTCTTCCTCACTTTTGATGTAATTTATATTTATGTGAATGAATGTGATCAAAATGAACAATCATATAATCCATTTATCTGTAAATTAAGTTCATTTTACTCAAAAGTTGGAAGAACCAAGCACGCACGCACAAAATGCAGGCACACTACGCCTTTTTTGAAGGTGTAATTTTTAATTTTATTACTTTGGTGTCACAAGGAAATGTCCGTTCATTTTTTGAGAATTAAATACAAAAGATAAAGATACAAAAATTAAAAAAAGTACTATTGAGTTATACATCTCTTTCTCAGTGAATCAAAAATTACTATAAGAAGGTATTGAAACTAAAACTTATATTGACTTTTATGTTTAGTATTCTCGAATTGATATAATATCATTAAAATGCAATTATTAAGTTTTAAATGTAACATTTCTCATAAATTATCTACAACTTTTAAATTCAGCATAAATTTAGTTTTCTATGAATATGTATAGTAATATTTTTTTTGTATTTTATGATATTATATAAATTACAAGAATACGAAATTTTAAAAAAGTCAAGACGAAATATGTTCTTCTTCTCTTTTCAAATTAGTATTAAATTCGAATATTGGATATAGTAACAGTATACAATTGATAAGGAACCCATATATATATATATATATATATATATNGTTTATAAGCATTTTAATTTTTTTCATAGAAAAGAGGGTATGAATAAATTTAAATATATTTTCGCGCGAAGCGCGGGCAGATTAACTAATTAAGAATATAATTAAGAACTTATTAGGAATTAAGGATATAAGTTATGTGCAAATTATTAATTGTCATTGTAATTTGAGTAGTTACGATATGTCATTGCTTTAATTTTCAGATTGCCATGTCAAGTTTACTATGAAGGGTTAGCTATTATTGTAGGTAGATTTTATCTTATCAGGCGGATCCAGGATTTCAAAAATATGTGTGCACTATTATGAAGAGGTAGATCTAGAATTTATACTTTGATGGGTTTAACTTTAGTCTTTTACCATGAACTCACTACACTTTTAAAATTATAGGTTTAAAATTATATTCTTTTTGAAATTTTAGTAATTTTCACATATATATCTATACTCTGTGCCGAAAATAAGGCCGTTAAGAGTGAGATTTGAACTGCCAATTCCATTTTGTAGAGGTGCACCCAATAATAATTGCACTATAAGAGTCTTTGAGCATGGGTTCACATACATATATTTAAGTGATTTTGAAGAAATATAACATTGTTATACATGATTTACGGAGAGGAGTATGAGTTCATGTGAACCCATGTCACTTGACTTGGATACGCCTCTGATAACAATATAACTTTTTAAGTACATATAACTTAAAGTCTTATATTTGTTAACACTAATTAGTTGTTTTGTTAAAATTATTGAAAAATTGACTTTAATTGAAAGGAAGAAATGCTTACTATCTTCCTTCAAATTGAATAATTGAATAATTCAAATAAAACGTTTTACAAATCGTAATTGAGTAAAGCCAATAGCTGTTTCTGTTAGGATTTATAATTAATCATTTTTTAGTTTATTATATTAAATCCGTTTATTAGTCATAAGTTGATGACTAGTTATTATCATGTGAAAAAAAAAATCAAGCTAAGACCTACTTATCCTTCATTGAAAGACATTATCTTTACCAAGTGACTAACGAGTCCCTAATATAATGCTTCACCTGTTTTTGTTAGTCCATATTTTTTTATTAACAGTGTCTAATTTGTTTTTCTCCTTAGAAGCAACTCTCCTCTTTTTTTTCTGCTTTATTATTGCTCGGCTTAATTTTAATGTTAAAATATATGATAAATAATTACATCACATTCAATAAAATACTATAGACCATACAATAAAATATTTATCTTCATTTTAATGGCAAGAAAAACATGATGAATTATTGGGCCCAAAATCCTTGTAAGTGGAAGCCCATAAAATAGGAAGCTATTTGTGTGGCTTAGTACATAACTAAGGACCAAGCAAATTGAGGAAGAATTAACTCAAATAGCTGTCTACCCAACCGCTTAAACTAAAAATAGCCGATGGAGATATAATATATACATAATTTATGTATTATATGTGTATATTTATGTATAATTAATATATAATCTATGTATGTGACTAGAAAAAATAAACAATGAATATAACCGACTATTTGTGTAAAGATCCCGCAATTGAACCCTTAACGTCGCGGCCATAAAATTACCGGTGCCTACGTGAACGGGACAAAACCTCACATTGTTAAGCAAACAACGGCAGCCGCACTTCTAGTTTGTGGGCACCTTTACGAACTAATTATTTATTATCTCCCACTAGTATAGAATCTACTAACTATGCAAACAAGATTTAGGTTAATTGGAAAAAATAGTCTACTATTACTTTTTACCTATGCACGAGATTTGAACTCTGATCTCTCGTGATTTTCATTACACTTCATTAATTAGTGAACCACACCGTTGAGTGCAGTATCTTATTGTTTCACTGATGAGTCCAACACATGAAAACTTTCTTCAGATCTCGAGCATGATATGTGAGCTAAAGTTTGGTTATAGAAGTAACGCAAACATTGTGTATCGTTTTGTTGCTTGTGGTAGTTAGCATCTTTGCTACCATGAAATTTCCATGAAAATCTGGTTTCATGCGTATGATATTAGTCTAGCTACTTTGATCTAATGCAACCCATGCCATTGCTATACAATGATATCATCTCCCTTTTTTCTCAAAACGTAGAACCAACTTCCTCATTATATATTCCTAGAGAAATCTCCATCTAATTCCCATGTGCCTAGAACAAAAAAGGAGAGGAAAGAGTAGAGAAGAGTACTGAAACTAAACCTTTATATTTTTCAAATTGCAAATGCAGATTCTTGTACGTTTTTCCCTTAATGGGCTTGTTGAGTCACAAAGGACTTCTTTAGTTTCCTATTTGACATTAAGTATCCAATTCGGGAAGGCTGGTGTGAAAATTAAATTTATCACGATTGTTCATGTCTATAGGGAAATGAATGATGAGAAACTTTGCTTCATATTAGTTTAATTAGGACTATATATGAAGGCAAATCATGATTAAGCCACTCTTCCTGTAATCACGTTATAAGATTGGAAAATTACATATCATATACATGAAAATAAAAAGTATATACTTGAGTTGTAGAAAACTAAATCACAAGATACAATATGTCCATCAAACTGTAGAACTTATTGTCCATATAAAGCTACAATTATCGTGATGTATAGAGCAAAGTCTATAATTCAAATATCTACTAGAACATATGGTTAATTATCATTGTTTTCCAAAAGTGAGAACTTTGTTTCCGAGAGGAAATTCGGATTGGTGAGTATTAATTTCTGACCTTTAAAGTTGATTTCATGTTGACCACTCTCCCATTAAACGAGTGACATTAAGTAGGCGGTAATGTTTTCAATCCTAACTAAAATTTACGATTTGCTGAGCGTATAAATTTTTTTTATAAGCGATAGATAAAACTTAAACTCATAATTGTTGTTGCTGTTTTATATATTAAAAGTGTAAGAAACTCTAATACTATTAGATTATTTAAGAGTTAACTATAAATAAGTAATTCTTCAGTTAGAATATCCTAAAGAGTGCAACTGACAAATGGACTAAAAAGTTTTACATGCATATATAACTAAAGTCTATAAAGATCATCCATTTTATTTTATGTGAAAAATTATATTTTTGAAAACTTGTAATCTTACGTACATGGTAACCTTTCTAGGACAATAACATCACTGTTGAGTCTCAACTAATTCCTCTTCTACATAAAAAGAGCCATATTTTCTGGAGGAATTCGTCACTCAAACTTGCCAACGTACACGAATGTAACATTAAACAAACCCACTTCTCTCCACTAATTTTGGAGTGAGTAACACATTAAAGAAAGCTGACAAAATACTACAGTTGCAGTGGATTAATATAATCAGTTGGAAGTTGAAGGAAGGAAAAAGAAAGAAATTAAAGATGGAGATGATAATTTTTTTGGGCAGTTTTATCGCTTCCCTTTTTGGACTCCTCTTGCTGTACAATATGATCAGAAGGAAAATAATGGAAATAAGAAACATAGCATCAAATGTGGTACTGATTAAGGATCATAAGTCCTATGGTAAAACGGATGTTATCATTGTCGGTGCCGGCGTTGCTGGTTCTGCTTTGGCCTGCACTTTTGGTAAGGTACGTACGTACTACGTACATTCCATTATTTATTTTTAGAAAGTTCTTTTTCCTTACATAGAAATTAAAGATAACAAATTATGATAATGAAAATTCAGCTCATGACGCCTGTTTATATTAAGTGGTTGGAGATTCCCGGTAATACCACTAGGCTATATGCCGTTGTACCATTTTGCTTTGTTGTTGAGCAATTTCATGTCACCACGTTAAACATGATACTGATAAGGTCCTACATTTTGGCACAATTTGTAGACTAAACGGTCTTGAAATTTATATTTATTTTCTCATCTATCTACGGTAATAATTTCTAGGCTTGTTTATCTATGTGTAAACAGAATTATACTCTATTAGTACTTGTATTGTAAGGCAAATTATTTGCTATAACAACATATTAAAATACACTAATAATGTAATAAATCATTACATGTCAATGTATATAAGTTAAATCATTCCAATATTCTAAATAATGAAATTTGGCTTTCATCTACGCTATAATTTTTCTGTGATACAAATTGCAGGATGGACGACGAGTTCACGTGATAGAGAGGGACTTGACTGAACCACATAGAATGGTTGGTGAACTTCTACAGCCAGGTGGCTATCTCAAATTAGTCGACTTAGGCCTTGAAGGTAGGCATATAGCTTCATTTATACAAAACTTCAAAAGATTATATTTGTATATATAAGTCTAAGTATTTTTATATTTAATTAGCGAAATTTATGACTTTGTTATTGACTGTTGAGCACCCAACAGTCAAATTATTTTGTTCGATTTTTTCTAACTTAATTAAATTATGTAAATTACGTGCCTGCAGATTGCTTGGAAGATATAGATGCTCAAAGAGTTGTAGGATATACTCTTTACAAGAAGAATGGAGAACATATTATGCTTTCCTATCCCTTAGAGAAGTTCCAGGCAGCAGATATGTCCGGAAGATGTTTCCACAATGGGCGTTTCGTTCAGAAGATGAGGGAAAAAGCTGCCACCCTCCCCAAGTAATTTGCCTTTATATCCCATGCAAAATCAAGATATCCAATTATTTGAAGCATATCTTAGTTTCAAGCAGGCGCGGATTTACCTTAGGTCAAGCGGTGTCACGACTCACCGCTTAGCCAAAAAAAATTTACTATTTATATATACAAATAATATGCTACAAGACAAATGACGGATAAAATTAAAGGTATAAAGTGACACCACTTCATGTCTTCATCAATCTGGACTACTTGGTCCACTGGTAAAGACGCTGCATATTTTGGACGGTGCATATTTGTGTTATGTTTGGATTCGAGTAAAACGGGTACAATTTTGTAAAGTTTTTAAGCTTCAGCCTGAAATATAGTAGGGAATTGGGATGACTCACACACATGCCCTTCATTAAACTTCAAAAACAATCAGACTACCGAGCCTGATCTCCTAGTAATGAATTGTATTTCCTTAACGACTTGAACAATATTTATTTATATGATCTATTTTTTTTGGCACGGCATTTCTCAAATTCATTTGTTCACTCAGTGATACCGTTTATAAAAAATCTTGTTTACGCCATTGTTCCACGGTCATAGTCTACAAATATCTCATACTATAATTCACTAGTACTTCTTTGATAAGGATTTAGATTATATGCATTTGTCGTGTAAATATTTTCTATACTGTTAAATATAGTTTAAGTTGTAATAATGTATTATTTATTTTTTAGTAGGTTACCAATTAATCCTTATCATAAACATTGGATTTAACTTATCTATACTGATAGTGGCAAAAAACTATACTATCAAAGTAATTTAATTTGTCGTGGTTGTCTTTACCTTTTATTTTTCTTAGGTTTTTTATTTTTCTTATTATGGACAGTTATCTATAGCTACCTTTCAATGGTTGTGTAATTAAGAAATTCAACTACAGAGTATATAAGTTAAACTTCTATAGAGTAAGACTGAAGTTTTGCTCATGTTAACTTACTCCTGTTTTTGGGATTGGTAGTGTAAGACTTGAACAGGGAACAGTCACGTCTTTGATAGAAGAAAAGGGAACTGTGAAAGGGGTAAATTACAAGACAAAAGATGGACGAGAGCTATCTGCTTATGCTCCTCTTACAATTGTTTGTGATGGTTGCTTCTCGAATCTGCGACGCTCCTTATGCAATCTCAAGGTATTTTCTATGCAATCATACCTTTTTTTTTCCTATTGAGTTTAAGTTATATATATCGTCGGGGTAAAAAAGTCTATCTTATTTTAAAAATTATAAATATCACACTATAAAGATACTTTCCCGTAAATTTCATTAAATGATCTGATTGTGTTAAATATTTTTTTACACTAATAATATATATAACTTAAACTCCTTCGTATGGTCTCTAAAATTTAACGAACATTTTCTTTTGTTAATTGTAGATGGATATTCCTTCGACTTATGTTGGATTAATTTTAAAAGATTGTCAACTCCCATATGCAAACCACGGAGTTCTTGTCATGTCAGACCCTTCACCAGTGACATTTTATCCAGTCAGCAGCACTGAGGTTCGTTGTCTGGTTCTTATTGCTGGTCAAAATGTACCTTCTATCGCTAATGGAGAAATGGTCAATTATTTGACGAATGTGGTTGCTCCTCAGGTATGTATCTCTAATGAATTTAAGTTAAATATAGGTGTATAAAAGCTATTTATACAATTAAGCATTTGTACCCCCTAAAATTCAACCATTTCAACTCTGCATTTCTCTAATAATCCTGACAATAAATACTTAACTGCACTTGGTGTTTTCATCTAACCATAATTAAGTAATAAATAGTTTATATATAGGACAAATGTCATGTACACAGTTGCTTGGTGTAAATACGAAGATGCAGGTAAGTTCTTACCATCTGCGTCTCCATATGCATTCAATTCATATCTACCATTTTTCTAAGAGATTATTACTTATTACTCTCTTCGTTGTAGTTAACGCGAACCTACTTTTTTTATAGCCTGTTCCAAAACTAATGGTCTGATTTCTAAATTTAAAAATAATTTAACTTTAAATTCTTATCTTAATTAACCTTAATAAAAAACTTTTATAACCACGTAAATATTATGACAAATATAAATTACAAAAGTTTTTCTTTCTTTTTTAAACTTTATGTACAATCAAATAGGTTCACATAAATTGAAAATGGATTGTTCTTTATCAGGTACCTAGTGAATTGAGGGATGCATTAATAACAGCGATTAGCGAGGAAAACAATATAAGAACAATGCAATTCAGAAGCATGCCAGCAACTTGTAGTACAATTCCAGGTTCTCTTCTAATAGGAGATGCCTTCAATATGAGGCATCCTTTATCAGCAGGAGGAATGACTGTTGCTCTTTCCGACATTGTTGTCCTTCGCCATCTTCTTAAACCTCTCACTGACTTTAATGATGCAAATGCTGTGTCCAAGTATCTTCAACGCTTTTACACTCTTAGAAAAGTAAGTGTAATATAATCCACATAAATTAAATTTAATAGTAATTTAGATCTTACTAAGGCTGAGTTTAGTACGACGGAAGTCATTTTTAGAAAAATACTTATTTCAAGAGGAAGTTATTTTCAGACCATATTTGATTACTCATAAGGGAGAAAATGACCTCCTTCACTTGCTATTATTTTTAATATTTACCTCAAAAGTTTCATCGAAACGTTATCCAATTCTCTATACCTTTTACTCTTTAATAGAATAAGTTTTTCCGAGAAAATATTTTTTTAAACTCACCAAGTAAATACCGAAAAATATTTTTCCAAGAGAATGACTTCTGTCGTACCAAATCGGTATAAGTTTTGTACATTAAAAGTGCCCAAATTTAATGAGTTATATTTTTTGCGGGGGTTAACAATATTTGTAGCCACTAGCATCAACAATAAACATACTGGCTGGTGTAACATACCAAGTTTTCAGTCCTTCGCTTGATCCATCAAGAAAAGAGATTAGGGAAGTATTTTATGGTTATTTAAGAGTTGGAGGGATTTTTACAAATGGAGCAATTGGTTTACTTGCTGGTCTAAATCCAAGGCCTCTCAGCTTGCCTTTTCATTTCATTGCTGTGGCAGTATATACTTTTGGTCGCTTATTGCTTCCATTTCCTACTCCCAAGGGAATTTTGCGCGCTGCCACGTTGCTTTATGTAAGTATAAATAACTACTACAAACATAAAATTAATCGACACTTTAATCAATGTAGTATTTATATTATTTATCAGTAAAAATATTAACTGACGATCAGTGACGGACTATATATTCTGGTAGATAAATTTTGTAATTTATTGCTAATCCATCACTAAATTTAGTGACGGACGGGAAATTTGTCTCTAAATTCTTAGCCACGACAACAGATTCTTAGCCACGGCAACAGATTAAAATCCGTCACTAAACTGTTTTAGCGACAGATTTAGCAGAATCCGTTTTTTTTTTTTTTTT